TTGCTGCAAGGCCTCTGGCAGTGTATTGTAAGAGAGCAGTTTGAAAGTCTTGGGGGAGAGTGGGTGGGTTTTATACAGCCTAGACACTCATCGCTCCTTGCTGTCCACAATGTATGCCTTCAGTGTGACTCTAGTAATACAGAGCTTTGCTAGAAAGAAGTCAGCCTAAAACAAAAACAAAATGCAGTCGGTTTCTTTTGAGGCTTACTGGCAGCATATAGAAGCGTGTGCATATGTCTGTGCTCTCCACCTACAAAATTAAAGAAGAGCTGTGACTTGTGCAGCTGTTGTTTAGACAAATTTAAGTGGAACTAGTGTAAAAAGAGTATTTCTGTTGGGGAAGCTGGTATCTTGGGAAGGTCATGATCTTAAAGTGGGATTTGTAACATCCACAAGTCTCTGGTATCCAGTCTCTCCTGACTGTTAGTTTTTGTGCAGGACCTGTGTATCCTGCCTTGTGCCAGCAGAGGCCACAGTCAGTACAGTCGCCAAGTATTCAGTAGCCTTAGCATTTTCACTTCCTCAAGACCAGGCTTTCTGGGAAAGGTTAATTTTTTACAGGCTGCTGTACAAGGAGTAGACTGTGTCACTGGAACAGTTCTAGAGGAAGCCAGAGGGACAAAACCACGGTGCAGAGGAGCTGAGAGAAATGAGGGAGACTGTAAGTTAACAAAAGGACAGGAACATTTTGGGAAGGGTGAGAGAGGAAGAAAGAAGTGAAACAGTAAAGAGAAAGAGGAAGAACAGTGCTAGGAGGGCTGGTCCTTGAAACTGCTGCATGACGGGAGAAGCCTTTATCTGGAAAGAGCCAACCTGGGCTTGGTCTTGTCTGCAAATACTTTTCGCACAGTGCTGGTCACGGCACGCTTCCTCTTTCAAACTGCAACTGGAGTCTTGATTCAGTTAAGACACAGAAGAACTAATGCAGGGAGAGAGACACTGAGGCATGGGATGGCATGGAGACACAACCATTTTGGACCTGAAGATCCGATAGTGCTTGTGGTGTTCCTCTGTGCTGCGCCCAGCCTTTGGATGAAAGGACGACTCGTGCCAGTGAAATAAGTCACACACGTTTTCCAAACTGTTACTAGTGTGTGTCTTTTGGAAGGAATTTGTATGCCTCTTTCTATCAAAGGGTATGTTACAATTTTGAGCTTTTAAAGGTAAATAGGTTTAAATCAATGAATGATTGTTTTCATTACAAAGTTTTAACAAATTTTGTCTCTCATCATAATGCTGACTTCACAAGCTTCAGAGAGTTTGGTAGGTGTACTGATTACTGATCATTTATTTCCTGCTGCAAGGAAGATACTGACCCTACTGGGAGCCTTACCATTCAAGGCAGATCTCTATATTTTAAAGAGGGTGAAAATGCCAAGAGTTAATTACTGCTTAAATTCTCTTGTAAATGAGGAAGTATATTACATAAATACATAAGCATTTTCAAAGGAATGTTTAGCCTTTCAGTTCCCTGTATTCACTGAGTACTGCTACTGACTTCGGTGCCAATTGTTGACTTTTTTAAGTTTAGGAAATAATCTTCCATGAAAGTGCATGTTAAAAATAGGCTAGGGTAAATTGAAAAGGAACTTCAGAGAAAGGAGGTAAGTTGTGGACGATCTGGTGACACAGGAGGACAGTGGGACTGAGTTATTTTTAAATGGGAAGATATAATTAATTCACTCTTCCCTCACTGTCTTTTAATTGGGATTCACGTATGGGAGCAAATATACTGAGCTGTGCTGTATGCTAGAAAGTTCTGGCTGTGCTGTTTAGTGCGTCACCTTAAAACAAAAGCAAAACCCGGTTATTATTGTGGCTTGTTTAGAAGCACTGTAACAATTAATTTCCTAAAACTGGAATTGTGATAGGTGGCATAGGAAACTGCTGCATTATGTTGACAGATTACTACTTTGTTACAACGTATTTTTGTAAGTCATGTGACTATACAGACCATAGTACAAAAGGCAGTACTTTTCCTGGAACTTTAGAGGCTATGACTGCCTCACTTTTTTTCAGAGTAAAGTTAAAGCAGTTAAACATCGCTGTAGTGTGCTCCCTGTTTTTACAGATAGGCTTAAATGTAGTGTGTAGGTGGCACATCTGTTCTAATGGCAGTAATTCTGTGGATTTGAAACTTACAGCCTTTGAGAAATAAAAATTAAGATTTCCTTTACCAGAAAGATTTATTTGTGTAAACACATGCCTTGTGTCTTAAAAGGTGTGATTTATGTGAGAAAGAAGATAACTTCGTAACTAGCTACCAAGAAAGTATTCTTCTCTTTCCTGTATGGATATAAAAATATAGTCAGATCTGAGATCATTGAATTGTGAGGTTAAGCACATATGATTCATTCAGATACTAGTGGTTTTGTGGTAAGAAAACAGTATTTCGGGGCAGAGCATGAACCGTAAATGCTGCATCACAACACATATATTTTGCTGGTGTTTGATAAACAAATGTTTAAGATCCAGTTGTATATTCACTCTTGCTAACTAACAGAATACTGGCCAGGGGCATGCGACAAAAATCTGCTTTGCTGTAGAGTGGTCCTTGGAGGAGAGTGGAGTAAAGCTGTCTGCTAATTTCTTTATTTATTATTTTTGTTAGTATTTACAGTAGTACTGATTCAGTCGTCTGGGCTGCATTGGAGTTATTAGCACTGGCATTGAAATATTTGCAGTAGCAGTAACATTAAAATGGGTTGCCTAATATTCCAGTAGTGTAGGAATAAGAAGTTTTGATTTGCTGTTCTCAACTTTTCCGTCTCCCAGTGAGTTGAATGGGACAAGAAACATCTACTGAATGCTTTATATGGAGTTTCTCTTCAGAGATTCCTCAATGTCTTAGATCTAAGGCAGAGCAAATAAAGTGGCAAATGGTTCTCTTATCAGAGGGGCAGTGAAGGCAGGCCTTTTAAGCGTCAGGATGAGATAGCTGGAAGGCTTGCACTCGGTATTTTCTAACGGTCTCTCATGCTCAAAAGTTGGATCCATAAGCCGAGTTTAACACTTCTAAAGCTGTTGGAGAAAACGGTGTAGAAGGGAGGGTAGTATTTGTTGCTCAGGGAAACAGAACCAGTGACAATTCTCCTGCCTTTTTAAAAGAATTGACATGATCTGTATTTGATTTGAATATTACAAATTGATTGAGAGCTCAGAACTGGGTTTTACGTGATACAGATAATCCAAAACAGGAAGATGTGTTTTGGCTACACTGACCAGGGTCAGTGTATAAAGAAAGGAGAAGCCAGATATCTTAGAGTTATACTTATGGACTCTTATCTTTGTTGTAATGTAAAACCTTTATCTTTGCTACGGTGTAAAACCTGGCAGTCTCATTTACTTCATAGTCTGTATTTCAGACGGGCAAGTGGCTCTTGCTCCCAATGGGATCAAACCTCAAAAAGAAAAAAAAAGGCAAAGCAAACCAAATCAGCAGCAGCCTGCTGGGATTGTACATCCTGTGCATCTGTACTTCCCAATGTGTAGACACCCGATAGAAAGCAAGAACAGTCTGTGACTTGCTCTGTCAGTTTAACTGAGTGCAGAGGTCTTTCTTTTCCTTTTCCTGGACACAGCAAAGTGTCCAATCTATGTAGCCTCTCTACTGGAGTACTGGGTTGGCCAAAAATCAATTTCATTTTTTTTTCTGGGTAAATGAAAGGTGAATTTTTCATGGGAAACAAAAACTGCATTAATCAATACAGTGTCCATTTTGTGCAACTACCTTTTGCCATCTTCCAGGCAATTTCATGATTCCATGCTCAAAAAAGTTCTTCTCTTTTTTGGCAAAAACCAGTTCCAAGAACAATTTGACATCCTCAGCAGCAGTGAAGGTTTTACCATTCAAGGCATTTTGTAAAAAGCAAAACAAATGGCAGTCTGATGGTGCCAGGTCTGACAAATACGGTGGATGTGGTACCCCTTCTCATCCGACCTGCAGCCATTTGTGATGAGTGACCAAACTTGTCTGTGGGCTGGTGTTATCTTGGAGAGACACACCACCTTTGCAGTTCACCAATTCTGGATGCTTCTGTTTGATGACATCATTTAATTTACCCAGTTGATGACAGTACACGTCCAAATTAATGGTTTGGTTCCTTGGAAGCAATGCAAAATACACAATACCTGTGAAATCCCACCAGACTGACAGCAGAACCTTCCTTTGGTGCATATCTGCTTTTGAAGTGCTTTGAGCTGGCTCATCACACTTGCTCCATGATCTTTTCCATTCGTTGTTATTGTAGATGATCCATTTTGCATCACCTGTTATCACACTTTTTTTTGTTTCAAGAGAGAATTGTGCTTAGTGAATTTCTTTAAGCTCATGTGGTACCCAAATATTGAACTTCCTAATGTATCCAAGTTGTTTTAAATGTTTTTCAATGCTTGATTTCTGTATGTTAAGATTATCAGCAATCTCTCATGTTGTTAAATGCTGATTGGATTGATCAATGCCTTTATCTTGTCGTTAGCAACTTCGATTGGCCTTCCCAAGCATGGTGCATCTTTAACATCAAAATCTCCAGACTGAAATTTAGCAAACCAATTCTGACACTGCCGTAGTTTTAAGGCTTCTTCACCATACTCACCACATAACTTTCTATCAGTTTGCACAGTGTTTTTCCAAAGTAATAGAGCAAAATATGATGAAAATGTTCCTTTTGATTTTCCATTTTGAAATTGACGTCAAATCAATAATTGTTAACAGAATTGTGTGCTTTCTTTTTCTAAAACAAGCTTGAACTGTCAGCTGTCAAGTTACATGATGAGTTTGCGATTTAAAATGAATTTAGTTACATTTCAGTACATGTATGTCCATCTATTGAAAAAAAACCCACAATTACTTTTTGGCCAACCCAATACTTTTTATTGCATATATTCATTTTGGGTTATTCTACATGATGTGATACCTTTTATAATCATGTTCTTGCACTACTGTTAATGACAAATGAAATCGGCTTCTATTTGTGCTTAGATCCCAATCCTGATGTGAAATGAGTACAGACTTCCAAAAACTCCTTTTTGGCATTTCTGAGGCTTTGGTCACAGACGAACTGGCAGCTCTGAAGTTCCTCTGCCTGGAGTACATCCCCATGAGGAAGCTTGAAGCCATCAAGGAGCCCAAGGCCTTCTTCGAAGTTCTGCAGGAGAAAGACATGATTGAGGTGGGGAACCTGTCCCTCCTGAAGGAGCTGCTTTACCGGATCGATCGGATCGACCTCCTGGCTGCCTACCTGAGCTCCAGCCGAGAGGAGATGGAGAGAGAGCTTCGGATCCCAGGCAGGGCAAAAGTGTCAGCCTACAGGTAAGCATAGAAATAGTGAACCTTTGCATGCAAAATGTACAGCAATCTGGTTGTGTACTGTCTTGTTTTCTGCCTGCACTGTTGTGTTATGAATATCCCAGCATAATTGTATTTATTACAGCATGACTACCTGCCATTGTGAGTTTTACATTTGCATTTCAAATGTGTAATTATGGTATTTACTTTTCATAATATTCTTAATCAGTCTTTCTCTATTCTTTATTGCCAGGCAACTGCTATACAGAATTGCAGAGGACTTGACTCCAGAAGATGTCAAGAGCGTGAAGTTCCTGCTCCAAAAACGAATACCAAAGAAGCAGCTCCAGGATAATGCTGTATGCAAAGTGATCATGATAAGTTTCTTGCAGGACTAGTTCAGAGTCTTCTAGTTCTTGTAAAAAGAGAGGGAAGAGAAAGCAGTCTGATCTTACTAAAATCTGTTGTGAAAGAATTGTTATGTTAGCTGATAGGTGCTGTGTGAAAGAATGGACCCTTTTTTTCTTCATTTTACCTTTTCTCTGCCCCCTTTTGCACTCCTGGTCCTATTTTCCCTCCACCACCTGTCTCCCTAATTTTTTCTTGCAAAAATCATCATGCTCTTCCTTTCATCTTTGCTTTGGCATTTGTAAGGCATTTGTGCATATGCTGTATCTAGGAAGAGTGATCTTTGCTGGAGGAAAAACACTGTTTTAGAGACACAAAATTGAGTGCTAATGTGAGTTCAACCACAAATTGTTGTGTGTATTGGGTATGTTTTCTTCTTTATTGTAATTTGGAGTAACGACACTTTGTTAACTCTTCCACAAAAGTTTTAAGAGGTTTGATGAGCTAGTTCAATTCTTGTAAAGAGCGAACAGTGTTATAAAAATACTTGGCATTATTGAGAATACAACCGTACTTGTATTTTGGCACCCATAGGAAAATTAGCAGGTTTACCTCCAACTTAGTGGACTGCTGAGCTTTAAAAACCAAAATGATCCCTGACCACCTTTTCTGTAATAGAAAAATGTAAAATGGCACAGCTAAATGACTTAACAGCACTTCATCTGAACACAGAGGCACAACAGGATGCCATGTTGTTATCCACATCAGTGCTTTGCACTGCTGAAACAAAGCAGGATAACCTAGCCATAGGCAATTTCTAATGATTCTAAGGTTAAGATCATAGTGATGTGTTTCTTTAGTTGCACTGTATCCTGACTCTTGTTTTAATGAGCTTGGAGGAAAATCGGTCTTTAGCTGGTCAGTCTCTGGGAGTAAGGATGTTGTCTTCTCTGTCCTGTGGTGCCTGATACTGCAGTTACTGAAGGTCACTGTATGAGTTTGGGTTATGTTTTTGTTTTACCAGTCAATGTTGAAGGTCTTCCTGGAAATGGAAAGAAATGGGTTAATTAAAGAAGATGACCTGGAAATGCTGAAATATATATTTAAAGGATTTAGAGCTGACATAAAGAAAAAAATTGATACCTATGAAGAAAACAAAAAAGGTAAATAATTTAACCTGCTGTTTAAAGGGTCAAGCTGGGTTGTGGATTTTTTGGTGATTTTTGTGGCTTCATCTTTGGGAGCTTAGGAGTCCAGAGATAAGAGAGAGACCTTACAGTATCCTGGGATGGGCAGAGCAGCTCTTGGTACCTGTGGTTTCTAAAGCTTTTTGCTACTTCATTATCCCATCATACCTTCTTGTATATATACCTTGAAATATATACCTTGAAATATATACCTTGAAATATGTTCTGTGCCTTGTCATTTGTCTGCTGCTCCCTTCTTTTTGCCTTAAACACAATTTTTAGCTTCAGGAAGCAGTGCAGCGCTGGTTTTAGACTGGGATAGCTTTTCAGTCACTGAAAGAGACCAGAACTGACAGTTGCTTTGGGGAAACTTATACTGGGAGATTGTCAGCATTATTTTCTGTTAGCCAGGCTCTTTGCTCTTAGTTGAAGGAAAAGTTCTTTGAGACCAGGCACTTGGCTAAAGTGTAGCCATTAGCTTTCTGTACCGGATGTGAAATTTCAAGGACTTCAGTATATTGGGCTGTTGCAGCTGAGGTAGTGACTTGTGACACTACAGCTAGGCCTTACTCTTTGGGAACCAGGATGTGTCAACCAACAACAACTGAGACCTATTAAATTTTTCCCCAGATCTTCCTTTTGGATGAATCAGGACATGTGTTTCCTTAGACAGCCCATGCAGTTCCCTGGGTTTGATGACCTCTTCACTTCAGGCAGTTATATTCAAAGAAGTGTTTTGTTCCTTTGTGGGGCTCTTACATTATGCTGGTATTCTGCATCCTTGGTGTGTCCACCCCAGCAGTAAAGTTCTCTGGAGAAGACACAATGGCCTCAGAAGTAAATGAACTAACTGTTGTGTACCACGGCACAAAAATGGCTCTCCTCTTTCACTTATGTATCCTGTAGTGGAGATGCTAGTGAATGGCTTGCCTGGGGTCATTCCTCCCATTCAGCCTTTTATTATCTGGATCTTGCTACCAGTAAAAGAGCAGAGAAGAAATGGAGCACAGCTCTGCACAGCTTCAATAACCAGCAATCTGTGAAACTGGAACTCTGCTTGGGCCAGATCTACAGAATAATGGTGTCTTGGTGATGTGGAAACCAGCCTCCACCTCACCCCTTGTACTGTTTTATGAGTGTTGAAATATGCACGGTGGAAGATTTATCTTTTTAGTCCTAAAATATTCTGTTTATTTTCTCCCTCTTAGAAAATGATTCTAAGGAAAAACACTATCCATTGTCTGTATCTGTGTGTCCAGCAGGACAAGGAGCAGAGGGGGTGACACCAAGCCTGGTGAGAAATGCCTCAAAGTTACCTTTAAAGTAACTCCTGGGAGGGGTGAGCATAAATTCTTAAGACTAAGGAGGTGGAAGAGCTGAAAGGGAGGGCTTCTGGCTTTATATGTAGGCCTTGAAGCAATTCGTATTTTCAGAACAAGACCAAGCCTTGTTCCTTTGTGAGGACCTGGCTGTCAGCAGCCTTTTAGGCAAGAAATTAAGCTGATGTGTGAAGAAAACCAATCTTAATGATAATGGAGACTGGGACAAAGTCCTGTCCAGGATACTTCTGGACAGATATGAAGAGAATAGCAGAATCTGCTACTTCACTAGAAACCCACAAGGACTCTCAGAGGGAATGGTAGGGTGCAGGAACCTTTCCTCTGCACATGCAAATTTGTGTTTCTGGATACTTGCTTTCTCCCATGCCAAAAGCATATCCTAACCACAGAGAGAGAGAGGAGGGATGCAGGGAGACAAAGCAGATTCTTCTCCCCTGTAGCTAACTTGTATTCTTAGGCTTTTCCTTTCTTGTATCTTGTGCTTGAACATGAAGGACCAACAATCTGTATATAGGATACATCTCTTTTGGATGCTTGGCACTGCTTTCTTATCTGCTTGCTTTGTTTTTACAGCCTGCAGAGTCATATAAAATGAAAAATAACCCCCATGGTTACTGTGTGATTCTTAATAACTACATTTTTAAAAATCCGTTTGAAATCAGAGAAGGAACAGTGAAAGATGGAGGTAAGTACTTTTAAAATTCAATTACTGGATTATTTTTTCCTCTGATAATTCTCTGAAAGAATTATCTAATCTTTCCTGTGAATAAGAATCATGTCCACTGAGCCCATTTGCCTCTGGAGTAACTGGAATGACAGTCACTGTAGAAATTGGAAATATGCTGCTTCAAACAGTTTAGCTGATGGCTTAAAGAAGGAGTTGCTTTGTCTGAATTGGTCATAAGTACCAAACAGTGAAAGAGGGATTACTCTTCCACCTTTTCACTTTTTGATTTTAATTCTTAGCTATCATGAAATTGTATTTTTAAGTCCTTAAGTTCTCTTTAATTTTCAAGTAAATGCTACAGCATTGTAATTTTCCTTAAAGCCTGTCTTTCTGCAAGAATCATTTTTAAGTTAAACAAGAGTTTATCTTAAAAAAAGTAAAATCTGTTTCATGAAAGCACACATCATTGATACTTTAATTCCATCCAGCATCTCTACAGGCTGCTTGCTTCCCAGCTGCTTTCTCACTGCCAACACAACAATTAAGTAAACATTTGCTGGGAAGTCTACATAGCATTTGTTAGCAGGTTACCCTGCCTTCTTTCTTGCTGCATTGATCATTCTCACAGGACAAGGGACCTACTTCATTAACGAGTGGCAGAATTTGTCATTCCAAAGAGGTATCTCTTCTTTAACTTGCTAAATTTTGTTCTTAAGCACCTGAAATTACTATGCGATGCACAGTTAAAGCTCACTTTAACGCAGTAAGTTTCACTAATTTGTACTGATTAATCAGGTAATCTGAAACCTGTTTTTGTTTAAGATAGCGTGATGGTGTTCTACCACACAGACACTGGAGTTTTAGCTTCTTCCATGTCACTGTTTATGTTTAACAAGTGCCTTCTGACTTTTTTCCCCAGAGGCTGTGAAGAAGGTCTTTGAGTGGCTTCAGTTTGAGACAGTTGAGCACATGGATCTAGAAGCAAAGAAAATGTATGCAAAAGTTAAAGAATATAGCAAAAAAGATCATAGTAACATGGACTGCTTTGTTTGCTTTATTTTTTCCCATGGTGAAAAAGACAAAATAAAAGGCAGTGATCATGAGTTTGTAAATATTAAAGATTTAGTATCCTGCTTCAGTGGATCTAATTGTCCTTCCCTTGCTGGCAAACCCAAGCTGTTTTTCATCCAGGCTTGCCAGGGCTCTGTAGGTCAACCAGCTGTTGCAGTAAAAGAAGACTTTTCTGGCCATCTTGAGGTAGATGCTACGCCTCTGACTTCCATTCCTGATCAGGCTGATATTCTGGTTGGCATGGCTACAGTGGAGGACTATGAGTGCTATCGCTGTACAAAAACTGGCAGTGTTTATGTTCAGTGCCTCTGTGACAAGATGAAGTCGCTTTGCCCACTGTAAGTACTGCTTTTAATCCATGTACCTTTGGGATATTGTGGACATACATACTTAAGCATGCTGTGCTGAAACACCAGTGTTTTGCATTTGTGCTACGTAATGCTTTTCACTGGAGGACAGTGCAGAACAGTAATTATTCTGGAATTGGACATCACTGTTCTTCTACAGATGAACCAAAGTACAAGTGACTTCTGGTTTGCCAGTGACAGAACCAGGGTTGTAATGCTGGAACATCACATTTAAGCAAGTGTGCATGTGTGTGCATGTATGTGCATGTTTTTTAACATTTTTTGACTGATAAATGATTTTTCTTCCAGTGACACCTGAAAAGAGGAGAATTTGCTGAGTGGGTACACAGACAAAAAAATCAGTGTTCTTTAGTCATAATTTTAATTGTTGCCTCCTTCCCATCCCCATCATAAACTTGGTTTAGAGACTAGAATTCATCTTCAGACTTCACTTTCTCATGATGTCCAGAAGAGGGCTTGGAGAATGCATAGTTTTGTTGTTTCATCTCAGTGCACTCTTCTGACTATAGCCAAAGCAGAGGAATGTGTTTGCTGAAAAGTGATGCTACACAGAGGTTGCTTTTATTCCCCCAAACACACTGAATTCTGTGGCTACACAGCGGAGTGTGCCATCTCAGTGACAGGCAAGGTGATGGTACGATACCAGCCTTCCCTGAGATACCACTTCGTTGGAGCAGCTTCTTCTCCTAGCTATGAGTACAATGTATTTCAACATAACTTTTCTTCATTTTTGTTCTAGTGGCAAGGATCTTCTAACCATCCTGACAGAAGTGAACAGTGAAGTGGGAGGAAGAGTATTAAATGGATGCAAGCAGATGCCAAAGATAACATCAACCCTACGGAAGAAACTGATCTTCCAAATTCCACAATGTCAGTCAGTTGAAAAGTAGAAAAGTAAGAATACACTCAGGAATCACTTTTGGAATGGGCTTCTACAGGGAAGAGAATTTGGAAGAGAAATTAATCTGGCTCTGTGTAGTTAGTCCTTCAAGGGACCATGAGTTCATAAGTTTTCCAGTTCCAATGTTTAAGCAGTCTCCTGGCACCTGTATGTGTAGCAGTCTGGTAAGGCCATGGAGGAGTACAGATCTGGCTTTCTGGCCTGCAGAAGCAGTGGAGTCTGTTCAGTCTGGGTTTCAAATGAAGAAGCACTTCCAGGTAGTCTGATTTTTAAGAGTTATTGGAAATGCCAACAGAAGTCCCATTTCTGTCCAAGTTGCTATAAGTCCCTGAAATCTGAAGAAAAGAACAGATAGATTCAGAATATTAAATCCCTTCCCAGGGAGCACGTGTAAGATTATAACTAATCTACGCAGAGATGAATTGTTGGCTGTCTCTGGAAGCTGTGTAATTTTTCATGGACAATAACATTGCTGTCCAGAAGAACCAAAAAAGGATGATTACGATAATGCAGGTTTGATTATTTTCCTGTAAATATTTTGTTTGCTTTATGTTATTCATTTACTTGGCTAAACAGCACTGCTATTTTTTTCATGGTAAGGGTTCTAATTGTGGTTTTCTCAGAGCTCTGAGGGAGCAATGTGTTTTGAATTGGTGTGAACTGCTGGATGGAAGGTCCCACTCAATTAAATCCACCATTCTGAGATGCCTTCTCCTCCTGGGAACTGACTCTAGCTCCTGTGGACTCATTTCTGTTGTAATAAATACTCTTGTTTTTCACATCACCGTTGTTTTTGGTGCATTTCTCTTGTGGATGAGCTGGCTGAGGGACAGTCAGCATGACAAACACTTTTACTTCAGCAGAAGTTATCTTGCCCTCACTGGAGTATTCAGCGGTGGCCACCCCAAAGGGTATCACATCGATATCCCTTCATTAGCAGCTGGAGAGATGGTAGGAAAGAATAAATATCACTTCAGGGCTTTCATGATAATGGCAGCTGTTGCCAGTGAGGCTGTTCCTACCTTGCATCCTCAGCGATGTATAGGTGGGGTGTGGGAGCTGTATGGGATTCTAATGGCTACATTCCTTCTGAGTTTATAGGAAGATAAAGGATGGATTTGAGACACTTTTTAACTTCTGCTTTTCTTAGTTTGTATTTCTATGGAAAGCCATGTCTAGCCATAAAGCAGGGGTTCTTCATTCAATCCTGCTTGTGTTTCTGAAGCGAAACTTCTTTTTTTCTAATTCCATACAATGTGTTGGTGGTTGCACTTTGCTCCCCTTACCCTTTTTCACCTTCCAAGTGAAGGGAGAATGCCCATTCTTAGAATCACAGCTCTGTTCACACAGGTTTTATAAAGAAATCGATGTTACAAGCACTATGTAAATGAGTGCTGTTTGTGGCGAAAGTTACCAGAAGGGGTAACTAGATACGATGTCTGTGGCTGACATTTGGTTTACCACTTAGGAAATGTAATAACAATTTATTTACATTTTTATAATGTTTTCATAAATGAGGCCCAGATATGAAGTTAGGAATTAGATTTGTGAATGTTGTTTTATGATAAAGAAATATAGCTTAAATGAAATAACTGCTTCCTCTGGGAGAAATTTGCTGGAAGGTGGCAGCTGCTGCAGTAGGGAAGTTGTGAATCTATAGCATCTCTGGTTTTTTTTCATACTTCTCTGTGTCAGAGTTCAACACTCTTGGACCAAGTTCTTTCAGATATTCCACATGAAGAGGAACTGGATATAAAATATATTTGGTGCTACATGGGATTTTGATTTAGTAGAGTGATACAGCAACACACTGAAAGCATAATTTAGCAATTGCAGTGTACTGTTGAATCACAATGCAAACGTGATTCTCATTACCGGTCTCTGCATGCTCGCCATCATGACACTGGGCATCACCAGTCATGATGGAACATGTGGGTTGAAGCCAACTTAAGCCCATTGTGCTTTTCAAAATGTAAATGTTCTATCAGCTGTCCAGGTTTTATGCTTTTATGTTGGGCTGAGCCACGTATTCACACCCCCCATGCTGGTCTGGCTAGCTCAGGGAGACATTATTCTTTGTTAATTGTCTTGGGGAACCTGATGGTTCACAAGTGCAGCTCTGCAACTAAGGTTACTCTCCAGTCTCCATGATGTTGGGGTAAGTTGAGCTTTCGTTACAGTATATTTTTCCCTGAGATCATTGGTTTCTTGCCCTTCTCCTCTGAGCTTTCATCCACTGGGGGTGCGGTGTGCTGGTCCATCACACCCTGTCATTAAATTGGCATGGTATTTTGCTCTCCCTGTTAAAATCAGGCCACCTCCATAGTTAACATTATTGTCTTATGATGAAGACCTACTATAAGAGAGAGAAAACCCCATCAAAATCCTCTAAAGGACTGCAGGAAGTAGCTGTACTGTGAATTTATACATGACTCATCCAGTGATCAAGGGAGGAGAAAACACACTTCCAGTTTTACGGTTCAGAGCAAAGTACGCTTCCACATGTCTGCAGCAGGGTGGCTGATATGTTCTTGCACATATTTGTGGCCCTCCCACAGAACTGAGAGGCAAGGAGGAGGTTGGATCTGCAATTTTCTGACTCTGTTTTTCCTCTGTAGCACAACTTAGAGAATGAGGGGCAAACATTATTCTTCTCTGAAGGCCCTCAGCTGTAGTTACTTTGCCTGTCCTCCCTCTTCTTCAGCTCCTGGCTGGGAGGCCAAATGCTATAACAAAACAATCCTGGCACTCAATTCTGTGTTTTGGTTTCAGCCACCAGAACGTGGAGTCAGAAGGCTGGTAGGAAAGCAAAGTTGGTGAGTTGAAGTCAGTTGGTGAGGCTAAAGCTGAAAGCAGGCAAGATCAGAGTGATGCTGTTTGGAAAGGGAAATGCTTAGAAGAGTTGGGGACTGTTAACTGCAGAGCCAGAAAGTGTTATTCAGTGGTATGAATCCCTGCCCAGTCATTTGAATCTTGCTACATATTTGTTCAGTTTAACAACAGTTTCTCAGAGAGCTGCTTATGCCCACTATGGGAAGTTTGTCATTCTCGCTACTCTAATGGTTTTAGGGTGACTCTTAGCCTGGGTTAGTTGTATGTGTGAGGAGCCTGCCTATATTCAGCTGCCAGCTTCTCCCATTGCGCAGCCTGGGAGAACACTTAGTTCTCAAAGTGGTCTGAATTTCAGGTACTGCAGAGTTGTGATTAGTTGAACATTTCCTGCAGGAAATCTTAAAGCCCAGGGAGAAGTGGAAACAAAATACATGCCATTTAGGAGACTAAGCTATGCAGCAGGGAGTCTAGAACTAGGATTTTCCTCAGGAGATGTTGGGTGTTCAACACTCGCTGGTTACCCTTTTTATTCTGACCCCTAACTGACATAGGTACATTCTTTCTGAAATTATTCAAATGTGCCTCTTTGTAACTAGGAATGTATCAAATCATGAACAGAGAATGGCATGTTTAATGTGCAATGACTTCTGTGCAATGTGTTAAAAAATGTAGTTGAGATAGTTGGGAACTTCCAGATACTCGTTTCTGTGTGTCCTTTCTGTAATTGTGCCTTTGCTTGTCACTGTACCTGTTCCTTTATTGACAGCCACAGGAATTCCCCAGGGCTGGCTCTTGTGGGTGCCAACTGTAATACCTGTCTTGCCAGCTGGGACGTTATTGTCCACATATCTTCCGAGCTTGAGCTTTTAAAGACAGAGATCCATATCTCCTTCAGTCTGTTTACTAGGAAGAGCCTGTTTTAACATGAATTGAAGGCACGTTAGCTCATGGGCTGTTAAAAAGTGTCTTGACATGGTCAGATTACTTGCCACACATACAGAAATGAAATATCTTGCTTAGGGTTTTGAACATTGATAAGCCACGTCTTTGATAACAATGCAAGGATTTCTGCCTAACAGTTTCTGTCAAACTGTTTTGTTTTTGCGTGTGGAAGGGATTCTGGTTTTATATCAGTGCTTAGTGAGAACAATGTTTCTTTATTTGGAGAACGTGGATGCTCTGAGGGTGGCTCTCCTGCTCAAGGCGAGCACTAAGGCAATGAATTGGGAGTGCCTTTAGACTAGAGACAAGGGGTGGCAGGAGAAGCCCAGGAAGAGGGACACCTTTAGACCTGTACTTGCAGCTTTTCAAGAATGAACTCAAAAGTAGTCAGTGCTTCACCACTGTGAGCAAAGGGGGCCTAAAATGCGCCTGAGAGAAGTCCTCTCTGACAGACGCGCAGTTCTTCAGTTAAGTTGTGGATTTTTTAGGGTTGTTTGTCTGAGATAGAAACCCAGACGGAACCACGCCACCCCGAGGCCCGGGCAGAATCGCGGCTGGAAGCCGGCGGAAGAGCAGCGGGAGGCGGGCGGAAGTGGGCTCCGCGCTTGCGCGGGGCTGGAACGGCGATGGAGTTGCCGAGGCAGCGGCTGCCGGCGGGCAGGGGGGGGGGGGGCGCGGGTGGGGCTTTTTTTTTCGGCTGCTGGCGGTCAGCGAGGGGCTGGACGCGGTTGGGCTGGCGGCTCTGAAGTTCCTCAGCCTGGAGCACGTCCCCATGAGGAAGCTGGAAGCCATCCAGAATGCGCAGGACTTCTTCGAAGCGCTGCACGAGAAAGGGATGGTCGAGGCGGGGAACCTGTCCTTCCTGAAGGAGCTGCTCTACCGGATCGGTCGGATCGACCTCCTGAAAGACCATCTGGGCTCCAGCCGAGAGGAGATGGAGAGAGCGCTTCGGATCCCGGGCAGGGCACAGGTGTCGCCCTACAGGTGAGCGCCCGGCGGCCCGGGGAGGGGCGGTGCCGAACGCCGCCGGCGGCCGCGCTGAGCTCCGCCCGGGAGCCCTCTCTCGGGAATCGGCTGCTCGGTGTAAGCTTTCACCGAGGGTTTGAACACCAGGCTAAGGTCTGGAAGCACACAGGCATCTTCCAAGAGAAAGGAGGTACAAGCTGTACGAAAAATTGACATTTCTGCGCAGTAAAGAGGAGAAGACTAAGCCACATCTTTCACAAATATTTAACAGCCCCCAAAGGCCTCTTTCCTTGGGTGCTGCTGCATGGTGCGATAAGTGGCTGGGTGTGAGGCTTTGTTCTCATCTCCAGAAACTCTCAGATTGGTTTTGTTTTGAAGAAAACTGAGGTGTTTTTAATTGCAGCTGAAAATGGTTTTACTTAGGCTGTCCTGGTACTGATGTCGCTCCGGTTGAAAAAGGGAAAAAAGGGGGATATGTGCTTGGGGGAAGAGAGGGGTGAAGGGGACAGTTCAACAGCACAGTGTTAAATTGTGCTAAGGGACATGCTTGGGAACACGATGAAACGGTGTCCTCCCCTTCTCTTTCTAGATACCTGCTCTTTCAGCTGTCAGAAGACACCACTGAAGATGAGCTGAACTCTTTCAAATTTCTTTTGGGGAAAGAATTACCAAAATGCAAGCTAAACCCTAAGACTGTAAGAATTTCTTTAATACTTAAAAAAAAAATATTGTAATCCTTAGAGGCACAAATCCCTAGACTCATTCCCTGAGGGGAATGAGTGTCACTTGTCCTATGGTAAAAACACTATAAGAAAAAGGATGCAGCTGAAAAGGGATTGTAGGTGCATTTGAAGATTGTGCTAGTGTTTTGTGTAGTTTTTGTAGCAGTGTCACAGCCCAGAGAGCATGGGCCAGCCCTGCACCAGGCACAGAGGCCTTCATGTCCAAGCACAATGCAGGGCTTAGGGGACTCAGTGGCTTTGATCAGTGGAAGACTGATGAGTGCTTTCAGTTGTCTTACCCAACTGATTTTCTTTTGGCTGCTTTGTAAGCCTTTATCAAATACATAAAATCACCCACTGTGGCTATTACATTATCCTTTTGTTCTTTTTATTTCCAAACTCAGAAAATATGGATCTAAGCAGCAGATCCTTACTAAGGTAAAGGCCCAAGAGCTTGGAGTTTACAAGTAGCCTTGCAGGAGATCCAGCTGCTCTTACACTGTCTCAGCCTGCAGTTCTGACTGCTGAGTACTTTGTCTAGTGAAAACTCTTAGCATTTTCTCTCTTTTTCTTAGAAGAGAGACTGTGACCATCTAGAGAGAGCTGTTATAGTAAATTCTTGAGGTGGCCACTGTGCTCTGCCACTCACTGTCTGGCAAGAGCTCCTGTTGCGTGGGTCCCCTTTTGCTTCAGAGCAATCTCTGTGCGTGGTTTATACCCATTTTTGCTGTGGCTCAAGATGGTCACTACAGTGATTCTTGTGTTTCAGTTAAGTGCACAGAGTAGCCACTGGAAGTCAAATGAATGAAAGCAGTCACTAAAAAAAGTTGTATGTTCCTGTGTGATCGCCATTAGATCTCGTGGATTAGATCCTGTTCAATCTTGGCATCTCTCAGCTGCGGAAGGGAAACATATATGTTTTGAGAAGATGTTTTTACTTACCATGCTTGTAGGTTTTGTTAGTCTAGGTTAAATGGACTCAGCTGAGGTCTCAACTGAGGTACCAGTCAGCTGGACTGACTGTGTGTCGCATGTGCTGTTAGTACATGGAAGCTTAGGTGCACTGCACATGCTGCACCTTCCCTCCCAGTGGCAGCATGGATGTGCCCTAAGAGCAAACTACCTTTCTGATTACCCAGACAATGCTCGACGTTTTCATTGAGATGGAGAAGAAGGGGATTTTGGGAGAAGACAACCTAAGTATCCTGAAGCGAGTCTGTGCAGAAATTAACATCAGCCTCTTGAAGAGAATTGAAGACTATGAATTTAACCTATTTGGTAAAATAAAACAAACCAAAAAGGCCTCTTTCCCATAATTATTCTTGAAGTGACACACAGCTATCATACAGGACTGATAATGAATGCTTTTCAGGTGAAGAAGAGATGATGATCACAGAGGAACAGGGGGGCAGCATAGGAAGCCCTGAAGGTAATAGAAACTCTAAAAAAAATTGTTTAGATTTTTTGCTCCTCTTCAGTTCTTAGACTCTCTATACCACTTGCATCTTGCTTCTTTACACAGGTGTCTCTGTAAAAAGTGATCAAGTGTCTCGTACTCACTAACTGATCACAATATATTTTACTCCCTTTTAATTGATTACCTAGTGGTTTGTAGCTAACAGGAACAGCCATTCAACCACAATTCGTTGTTTTCAGAGAACAATTTTGCACCAGGAGGTGCTTGTGCAGATGGAGAATAGGAGTAGAGCTTCTCTCCTTCCTCTAGTGCTGCATTCTGTACTTAAACTTCTTTGTCTGTGTTCAGCCCATGACAGATGGACAGCATCATCTGTGGCACCCAATTCTCCTGGCAGCTGGAATGAGTCTTCCCAGGTACGTCAGTTTGTTTCCTAGAAACATCATAATTTTGTCGCAGAAGAGATCATCCCTACATGAGGTGAATGGTTATTACAAGCCCAACTGTTAAAAGCACTATCTAAAAAAAAAAATGCACCACTCTGTGACATCCTTTATTCTGAAGCTAAGTCACAGGAGCAGCTGCTGCGGTGTTAAAACTTCAGAAACCTTTGCGAGGGTAGCGAGATAGGCCAAGGTCATTGTACCAGGAAATATGCAGTTGTCAGATGGCTCTACATGGAGAAGTGGGTGCACACAGCATCCCAGGTGGGCTGAGCATGATGAGGGGGGCCTAGGGGGTGCTCTCATGGTGTGCACCGACTGCCAAAGGCAACGGGGCCGTGCTTTGCCTGCTGTATGGGGGAGCTGCCTGGAGAGGTGGCCAGCTGGCTCTTACCCTGCTGTGCCACCAGCGAGGGCTGAGGGCTGGAGGAGGGTGCGGTGGCTTTACCGATAGTCTTTCTTTTCAGCAGCTTGAAGCTTACAAAATGACAAGCCGACCCTGCGGAGTGTGCCTGATCCTGAATAATCACAGCTTTGCAAAAGCCAGGGAAATGGTGCCGGAACTCAAAAACATGAAGGATCGGAATGGGACAGACGTGGATGCAGGTACAGTGAACGTTGAAGTTGAGTTTGTGTATCTTCAAAAATAGAAACCTTATTTCTTTTTCTGTACTAAAGGTCTTGATTTCAGTCTTCCCTTTCTAGAATTAATGTTTATAAATATATAAAGGGTGAGTGTCACGAGGATGGAGCCAGGCTCTTCTCGGTGACAATGATAAGACAAGGGGTAACGGACTCAAGCTGGAACACAGGAGGTTCCACTTAAATTTGAGAAGAAACCTCTCAGTGAGGGTACCAGGGCACTGGACCAGGCTGCCCAGAGAGGTTGTGGAGTCTCCTTCTCTGGAGACATTCAAAACCCGCCTGGACGCCTTCCTGTGTAACCCCCTCTAGGTGTTCCTGCTCCGGCAGGGGGATTGGACTGGATGAGCTTTTGAGGTCCCTTCCAGTCCCTAACGTTCTGTGATTCTGTGTGAATACGTTTGTTGTAGTGGCTGAGTTGTCTCATTCCTGTGCTGACAAAGCCTAATGAACTCATCAAGCTTTTACCAGTTGACTCAGAACAACTCACCAGCATCTTGCTGTTTTACTGAGTTTCCTGCAGCCTTAAGCAGCAGCCTCAGCCTGGGCTTTACAAGCTGGGCTAGGTTTGTGTCATTTCAGCCTTATGCATGCTGTATATTCTAAAATATACAGAATCAGAACCAGATTTTGAGCTGAACCAGATTTGGATGTTAGTTGTTTAACATCCAACATTAAAAAAAAAATGGGGGGGGGGATGGAGGGGATGTTGGACTTCAGGGTCTTGATAACCTATTCAGGGGCCCTGATTTTAGCAGGCTGTCCTGCAGCAGCAGCACCAGCAGCATAGCTCATTTGCGGGTCCTAGGGCCTGTGAGATGGGTGTATCTGCATTATCTATGCCAAGAGGTAAAATCCATCAGTGGGCCTTCTCTGATTGAATTGAACTCCAGCTTAATTCAAGAGTCAGACTGCAAGGTGTGTCTTCCTGTGACACAGGTACTACCCAAATGGGCAGTGCCCTCTCCTCTTGGGCAGAGCAGCTGTGCTGCTCAACACTTCTTGAGAGACTAAGGGACGAGCTGTAAATCGGGTGGGAGAAAGAGATACAGCTCTCTTCATAGTTCTGCATGCTTCCCCAACAGAGGCAATACTAAACAGCAACATTGCAAGGAAGCCTTTTAATGAGAGTTAAGGAAACTCAGTAGATACATGATTGATTGGTCTACTAGATTATTGTCAGAGGAGTGTAACTACCTAGATAGGCTTGGTTTTTTTTTGGTTTTTTGTTTTTTTTAAATAGATTCTCTCTAGATATGCAGGTTGCAATTTGTAGAGTCCAACTTTCATGTAATGAAATTGCTCCAATTTCCCTTTACTTTCCAGCGGCTCTGAGAAGAGTTTTTAGCAAGCTTCATTTTACAATAGCAGAACATAGAAACCTCACTGCAGAGGAAATCCGTAAGACTGTGAACATCTACCAGTGCGAAGACCACAAGGACAAAGACTGTTTTGTTTGCTGTATCCTGTCTCATGGGAAAAAAGGCATCATATATGGTGTTGATGGGCAGGAAGTACCTATCCGGGAGCTGACCACTTCTTTCACTGGACAGAATTGCCACTCACTTGCTGGAAAACCAAAAGTCTTTTTTGTTCAGGCCTGCCAAGGTGATGCTTGCCAGAAAGGTGTGACCATTGAAACAGATTCTGGGGAGCAAGATTCTTCTGTAGAAACAGATGCAAGATTTCAGCCTGAATGCATCCCTGCAGAGGCAGACTTCCTCTTGGGCATGGCTACCCTGCAAGATTACGTTTCCTACAGAAGCCCAAGGCAGGGGACCTGGTACATACAGGCGTTGTGCCAACACTTGGAGTCCAGCTGTCCTCGGTAACTATGCTTCCATAACCTGCTTTTGGTCACACCTGTATTTTCCTTCTGAATGACAGGAACTTTGATTTGGATGCAGAGATAGATGATATGCAGTGGGAGTGCTTGCTCAGAATGAAAACAGTAATGTAGGACAGAGCAACACAATGCAGATTGTTCAGAGTGGTTTGCATAACTGCTCTGAAGCCATTAGCATTGGTATAGATCAAGATATACAAGAAGGTGGTAGTTTTTCTCATGTTAACTGCCTCCTTAATACCAAATGTACTTGTGTTTCTGCAGGGGAGAAGATATTCTCACCATTCTGACAGCAGTGAATCAAGAGGTGAGCAGAAAGAGCTGCAAGCTGAATGCAGAAAAGCAGATGCCACAGCCCAGTTTCACACTGAGGAAGAAGCTCATCTTTCCTGTCAACTAAATGGGAGGGAACTGCATGGCAGAGGGAGCTATAAAGGCAGACTTTCAGTGTTTGCTCTTACCAAAAGAGCATCTGTTTTTATTGAAAATACAACATTAATATGTATGACACTTTCTACTTGAGAGCATCTCTGAGCTGGTCTCTGATTTGTGATTTGGTAGCTAAAATACACTCTGTGTCCTTTATCAGCTGTACCATATTTCCAATGCAAATTTTATGACAACTGTTATAAAGCCTTGTGTATCTTCTTATGCCTAACTTTTGTAAAATAAAGAGGGAGGGGGTTCTGAAAGTTTTATAGGATATAATCGGCTCGCATCAGTGTGTTTTGTTACTTCTGTGTGCCACTTAAAATCATTCATTTTTAGTGACCTCCAGCATCCTCAGCACGATGGGGGTGTGACGTGCACTTCAGATTATCCTTCTAGGTATAATGGCTAGAAAAAGCCATTGCTCAGGTGCAGCTTCATGTCTGAAGATGTCCAGTTATCCTGTGTTCACTTACCTTGCTGATCTTCGAGTCTCAGTTCTAGGCACAAAAGAAGTCAGAAGTAAGTACCCAGCTCCTTAAAAAAAAAATTATATTGCCTCCTGTGATTAGTATGCACACAGTATGCAGCATTTCCATAGGAATAAAAAGAAAAAAGATAGAGCAATGCAAGCAGTTGGCTATGCTCAAAGAACTAGTTTTCTTGGGAGTTCACGACAGCAAAATTTAGGCAAATATTTCAGCAAGACTTAATGCATGGCATAAGCAAGGTCTTACTGGGCATCTCCTATAAGTGTTATGAATCTGACGAGGAATTCTTCATCAGTCAATCTGTCAATTATCAATGTCTACAGTTGATCTCCTCCTATAAAGCAGCTGCCATCGAGGCAGTTCACAAGGAACCCCAGTGTCCCCGCAGACCAGTTACACCGATTCCTATGAAGGAGGCAGGCAGTTCTGGCTCACAGTGGCTGGGGAGGGCGTTCATCATCATTGTGACCCTCCCCGTGGTGCTGTCTTGTTCTTGGTTCAGTTAGGATTGAGGAGACAGTTTCTCAGGTAATTTGGCAATCTAATCTAGAATCTTAACTATAAACAAAATTACACAGCATTTTGCACAAAGTTTTGCCAATACCCAGCTTTTCTTCAGCAGCTGCTCTCTTCAGTAATTTCTGGAAATGTTCTTGCAAGCCAGTGACTTCTGATCTCTGAGCTTCTTGAAGCAAGCTGTGAAAGCAGTATGTAAGCAAACACATGCCTGTAGGTCTCTTCACAGGGCAGTGCTCTCATTAAACCTATGCAGTGAGAGCTTAACTGCAGGAGTTCAACTGCAGGAGTTACTGATATTTTCAAGTGGAGACTCCAACCCACACACGAGATCTTACTTGTATTTACTTCTCCACTGTATAAAATGCTATTTAAAGGCCTTTGCTGGGAGACTGTCGAAAGTACCTTTTAGCAGTATGACCAACTAAAAGGAAAACAAGAAAGGAGCTCAAGGCACTTCTAAGTCTCATCAGTGCAGAATCACTCCAGAATTTCTTTTCAGAGCTGCCAAAGTCCCATTGATTTAGGTGGCTTAATTAACCTGTTTTCTCCATGAAGCTCTTCCTTGCACTTCCCTTAGGTGTGCCTGAGATTGTGGTTGGTTCGAGCTCTTTCACTGCAGCTTCAAAGGCCTTACAACTCTTCCCTTAGTACATCCAAAGTGCTAAAGAGCAAGTGCTAAAAACAAACCTCGCCAAACCATTACACAAGGTCTTACATAGCATGTATGCTCTTACAGCTTACAGTAAGCTGTTCTCCTTAGGCTCAGGTGTTTCAGAACAGCTGAAATCTCTTGAGTTCAACAGGAACTTACATAATGACATCAACTTTCTTTTCCTGCGTACCACGAACTGCTTTGATGCAGAGAGAGCACGTAGCCGGAAATCCTGACTCTACCAGCATCTAATGGTCCTCTGGTTAATTCTGTCTGCCTCTGGCTGTAGTGCTGACTTAACATCAGCTACTGAGATGGAAAGACAACAGCACTGTTGTTAGACAACAGGTTTTTTTCTAGCATTATGGTGTTAGAGGAACAAAACCAAATCCTCTGAAACAACACACACAAAACCAACCCCCAAAGCACCAAAAACCATGAACACATTCATTTAAAGTGAGGCTCACATTCAAATACTCTGTCTAGAGGTTGATAAGCTAGTCTTCATTTGTAGTTTTTTGTTCTCAAGAAAAAGGCTTTTCAAACTGCAGCAGAAGGTACCCTGTAAGCATCCTGTTCTAGATTTAAGCACCGCACATTTACTGGGCAATCAAAATCAGACGGCAGCTTGTACTGTACAGACGCCACCTTTAACTGCTTAGGTATAAACACAACAGACAACAGCCCAGCACAGCCTGATCACATTTTAACAATCAATTCCTCAGCTTCTGCAGCCATCGCTTGTGCAGATACCAACTCATTAAGCTTGTGTACAACATAACAATCACTACATTTTTTGCAAAAAAGACGTAATTATAGGTTTATTATAAACTGTATTACAGAAGATGACATCTGGAACAAACCACACAAGATGACCAATATACTGAAAAAGGCATGTTATGCATATTTATTATCAAATTTACATTCCACTATGAAACAACAGTAAGTGCAAAAAGCAGATGAAAAATATACCATGAAGTTCGCAGACCGTTCAACCATTGTGTGTCATCCCCTTGTGTAACAGTCAAATGAGGCCCGATCCCAAGATTCTCCTGCCCTCTCTGCTTCCTCTGGTTGACTCCAGTAGGCTTTCAACTTTGACTAGAGGTATTTTCAGCATGCAGGTATCACTGAGTTTATAAAAACCTGAAACTAGAAAGCTATAAATCTGTGCTTGGTTTAAACCAATCTGAGTCAAGGTAAGCACTACAAGTATTTCCTTCTCAGATTCTTGAAACTCACAAGCATGGGTAAGGCCCTTCTCTCTAGCATCTCTTTTTGTCTCTAACCTGCAAGATACAGAACCTTTCTGAAATGAGATTCTCCATTACTTTCAGTTCTACCTTCCACTCAACCACATCCCACTTGTGCGGGATCTCTGCTATCTTGGCCATGCAAGTTTGTCTCCTCTCTTATGGCAGGCAACAGAAGCCACATCAGTTTCTAGAATAATGGCAACTTTTAGTATGTTCTCAGAAATGCGTGTATTATTCAAAAAAGTTTACCTTCTAGGTTTTGGCACGAAACAGTAAACTTGGAAGAAGTACCTGTTTTCCCTGTTGCTGCAAGCTATGCACATACAAAATGCACGTGACCATCCAAAGGTATAAAGAAAGGCATGGCAGAATTTCAACACCACCACACCACAGCCATCAACCAGCCAGATAAACACACAAACTCCATGGCATACAGATCCTTCCATTTTCTTCCTGCCTTTTGTAAAGCATCTGATGATACATCATCCTTCAGAACACACACAAACCAACCAACCTCTCTACGTATCCACAGTATTGTTTGAACTGAACCAGCTTATAGTGTTGGGCTGTGGAATATGGAAGCAACTCAGAGAGAAAAATGCATTTAATTAATGTGCCTTTAGATTACTTTGAACTGAAACCTGGTCTGCCAAAGGAATTCTGGCTTAGCTGATTTGCTACTTCTGCTGGTAACACACGGAATGATCCAACGGCTGGAGTTATCTAATGAAGCTACTTAGAAACACAGTGTAATACCTTCAAAATTTATCTGTAACTTACATGTATTCCTATAATAAACACACATAAAATGGACGTATTTTTGACACACTACACCGGTGTCTGTTGATACCAAACTGTCTAATCTTTTGTTAACTCATTCCTGTTGTTTCCCT